TTTCAGTTATCTAACACCTTTTCCTTTGGTTCCAAACCAAGAAATTTTACTTCTTTCCCCCTGTTGTTTTCGTATCTGGTTAATAGCTATTTTAAACCTCTCAAGAAGACAGGATTGACCATTGGTTGTTGCTAATGAAGTTATTAAGATGTATATCACATTATTGTATGGTAACCTGGAGTATTATTTCACCTAGGCTTGCTGTAAATCCTGTTAAAACAGGGAACAGCAAATGTTTTCTGTAGAGGGCCATATAGTAAATATATTGGGCTCTGCAGATTCCTCTTGCTTATTTTTCTTTTTGTTTGTGTCTCATACACAAAACAGGTCAGCTACCACTTTGGGGCCATAGTTCGTTTACTCCTGCTATAAGATAAAGTAGAATAGGCAACATTGTTGTCTCTCTTACTGATATCTAATTCATTACTTAAAGCAACTAACATTTATTTTTGAAAGTTTATAATGTGGCAAATACTACGCTAATTGCTTTATGTGCATTATCTGATTCAATCCTCTCAGCCATCTTATATTATAATTACTGTTATTATTCCTCTTAGAAATAAAGAAATTGAGACTTGGAGAGATAAAGTAACTTTCTAACAATTAGTAAATGGTAGAATCAGAATCTAAATTAAGAAGACTAACTTTGGAATTACTACACTATGCCACTTCTTAAAAAGCTTTCAGCTCATGTACCCAAGCACATATAATTAGTGGCATGGCCCATTCAAGAACACTAACTTTCTGAGTCAGTGCCAATTTGTAAAATAGAGAAATATGCATTTTATTTTTTAAACAGTTTTGTTTGTTTTAAAGATTTATATTTATTTATTTGAGAAGTAGAGGTACAGACAGAGTGAGAGACAGAGAGAAAGGTCTTCCATCCATTAGTTCACTCCCCAAATGGCCACATCCGCTGAAGCTGCAGCTATCTTAAGCCAGGAGCCAAGAGCTTCTTGCAAGTCTCCCACTGGCCTCTGAGAAATATGCATTTTAAAGGAGGATCCAACAACATCTTAATCTAAAGAATGAATGTCTAAGAGTATAATATCAGGCATTGATATGAAAAGTAGTTTGGAAGGGAAACCAGATCTCGAGCATCCACAAGAGTAAAGGTAGGAATCACTGCCATACTTTTTCAATAAGGCAGCATAAAACAACCTGAATTATGGAACACAGAAGTGCAACAAGTAAATTATCTTAAAAATATGATAGCGCTAACTTCTCTCATTAACCATTAAAATAATAAATCACACTACAAAATGGGAGGTTAGCAATGCAGTGGGTCACATAGGTGCTTAGGGACAGACTGAAGGTGACTGGAGGAAATATAAACAGAAAGAAATGCAGAATATCTAGATGGTATCTACCTGGTAATTAATTGCAATTAGGGCAGAAAAGTAATGTTACAGAGGTCTACAACGACGTGTAATGTGAAGTACAAAATAAATGGTAAAATGGCTTGGTCAAATTCACCCAGTTAATGATGGTGCAGCTGGAATAAAACCCAAGATAGACTGGTTCCATGATCCACATTTGCTTAACCATTCTGTTGTAAATGATTTCTTTGGTTTAGCTGTGCTACACAAGCAAGTGATTGGCATCAGCCTGATGTTCTAGGCCAGGCTGAGAATCACAGTAAAGAATGGATAGAGGGGCCAGCACTGTGGCGCAGTGGGTTAAAGTCCTGGCCTGCAGCGCCGGCATCCCATATGGGTGCCAGTTTGAGTCCCGGCTGCCCCACTTCCAATCCAGCTCTCTGCTTATAGCCTGGACAGCAATAGAAGATGGCCCAAGTGCTTAGGCCCCTGTACCCATGTGGGAGACCTGGAAAAGACTTCGAATCAGCCCAGCTCTGGCCATTGCAGCCATTTGGGGAGTGAATCAGCGGATGGACGATCTCTCTCTGTCTCTACCTCTTTCTCTGTAACTTTTATTTATTTATTTATTTATTTATTTTATTTTTTTTTTTTTTTGACAGGCAGAGTGGACAGTGAGAGAGAGAGACTGAGAGAAAGGTCTTCCTTTGCCATTGGTTCACCCTCCAATGGCCACCGCGATCAGCGCACTGCAGCTGGCGCACCACGCTGATCCGACAGCAGGAGCCAGGTGCTTCTCCTGGTCTCCTATGGGGTGCAGAGCCCAAGCACTTGGGCCATCCTCCACTGCCCTCCCAGGCCACAGCAGAGAGCTGGCCTGGAGGAGGGGCAACCGGGACAGAATCCAGCGCCCCGACCGGGACTAGAACCCGGTGTGCCAGTGCCGCAGGCGGAGGATTAGCCTATTGAGCCACAGAGCCAGCCTCTGTAACTCTTTTAAATAAATAAATATATCTTTTTAAAAAATAAACATATTAAATTAGCAAATTAAACTGTTTTAAATGTTGAGACTTAAACTGAATGTAATTCTGATTATAAATCCTGGTCATCTATAAACACTTGTATTGTTCTTTTTTTGTTGTTGTTGTTTTATTTGACAGGTAGAGTTATGGACAGTGAGAGAGAGAAACAGAGAGAAAGGTCCTCCCTCTGCTGGTTCACCCCCAAAATGGCCGCTACCGCCAGAAGTGCACCGATCCGAAGCCAGGAGCCAAGCACTTCCTCCTGGTCTCCTATGCAGGTGCATGGGCCCAAGTACTTGGGCCATCCTCCACTGCCTTCCCGGGCCACAGCAGAGAGCTGGACTGGAAGAGGAGCAACCGGGACTAGAACCCGGCGCCCATATGGGATGCCAGCGCCGCAGGTGAAGGATTAACCAAGAGAGCCATGGTGCTGGCCCCGCATTGTCCTTTCAATATATGAGTAAAAATAATTGAAAATTAAAGCTGCATGACTAGAAGAACTGCTGAAGATGGGAGTTTGGTATAGTGGCCAAGATGCTGCTAGGGATGCTGCATCCTGTATCAGAGCCCCGGGCTTGAGTTCCAGCTCCACTTCAGATCCAGCTTCCTGCTTACGCACACAAGGAAGCAGCAGTACTTGGGTCCCTGACACTCATCTGGGAGACCCAAAAAAATCTCATTCTCTCTCTGCCTCTCTCTCCCTCTGCATTTCAATAAGTAAATTAATATTTAAAATGCTGGTAAGGCTCATCCAGAACAAGAACTAATTTAGAATATTCCAATATTGGGTTTGAGATGAACACATAGACTTTACATAAATATAAGTTTTTGAACTATAGACATAATAATCTCTGAACTGCATAACAAAATTAGTATGTACTAAACAGAGATGCTCAAGTATTGACTAGGAAAGTAACCTTGTGATTTAGCATATGCAACTGTAACTCACATAAGAACAACAAAGTAGGCAGACGTAAGTGAGATCTTGAAATATATCCTCAGGAAATTGCCTTTCTAGCTATTTTTATTGCTGGGTCAAGAAAACAAACCAGAAATGTGAGCATAAAGTGTGCTGGTATTCAAACCTAATATTCTAAATCCAGCTTCTTAAATACAGTCCTATTAGTCCACTGTCAGGCAGCACACAGGGAAAGAAAAAATACCCTTTGAGGACATATTGCAAATGACTACGGGATACTGCCTTCCTGTATGATAGCAACAGCTTCAGGGCTCTGTAAGAATTTTGCTGGGATGCCCATATGGTCTCAAGAAAAACATGGACACAAAATAACAGTAAATTAATTTTCAAATAAAATTGTGCTGGTGAAAGAGATAGAAGGAGAGGATACAGAGAGAGGAGAGAGGAGGGAAAGGGAAGGAGAGGAGAGAGGAGACAAAGGCGGCAGACAAGGAAGGAAGGAGGGAGGGAGAGAAGAAAGGAGGGAGGCAGGGAGGGAGGCAAGGAGGAAAAGAGGCAGGTATGCAGGCAGGCAGACATCACACTTTAGGAAATAGATATTCATGATACAGAACTCAACTTATCTTAAATTCTGTTAAAATACATAATGCAGATATCATAAGAGTTAGGAAAATGTGTGTGTACACATACTTATAAAGTACATTTCCCAGAGAGAAAAGCTCAAATTCTGAAGAGTAAGCAGTCATGAAAACTGTAATCCTAAAGTGTGACAATATACTGCTGTCAATTAGCTGGCAAGAATCAGGATGATCTTTGAGAGCACAAATCACCACTGGCCTAACAGGTCACTGTAATCTAAATCTACTGCTAATTTCATTAAGGCCTGAGACCCTTGGACCTAGAAGACTGCTTCTTGCCACTGCCATTAGTCTGGTTCTTCTTCTCCAGGAGTACCATGCTAAGTTCTCATCAACATTTTGTTTGAGACACAAAGAGAGGGAGGAAGAACTATCTGTGTTCCTTGGTTTTCTGGTTCTGATTCTCATGCATAGAAAGGCCCAGCTATATTTCTTTCCCTTCAATTCCAGCAGATAATCTGTATTCCTTATTAAAATTTTTCTTCTTTTAAGCAGATTTTAGCTACTGGTGCAATCGAAAGAGCCTAAAGAAAGCAAGCCTTAATTTGAAATCTAGAAGCCTGGAAGGCCTAAGGAAACCATTTTAAAGCAGAACAATGGTTTTAAAACATTCAACCTCTTAATCAATGCTATTAATGAGCATCATCTATTTTGAATCACAGAATTCAAGCCAAAATGCAGTCAGAGAAAAATACATGCCATTCATGTAGAAATAATCATCCTCAATACTATAATGCTTATAAAATTAAAAACTACATTTTCTGTGACAGTAGCTTTCAAGCCCATATTAGGCAACAGAATATTTTCTTCTAATGAAATCTCCGGTTCACGGCCATAAGCTAGCTGAAAAGAGATCTGCTCTGGCAGAACGTGTGCATGTGCATGCGGTTGTCCACAGGGTGGGCACACCTGTCCTGCGTGAGCCTGCAGGTCAAAAACCCCATTGGCTAGCATCTCCTCCCCTGCCAGATACCCCCTGAGGAATCATCATGGAGCCCTTGTGACCTTAACTTACAGCTTGAAAACCACTGTTAGGAAAAGGTAGTCACACCTTTGGTTACTGTCATAACCAAGGCACCATGTCAATCACATGTGTGTTTACCTGTGAGCTTTGAAATTTTTTCCATCAACATAAATATCAATATCTGGACAACAATGTTTCAGATAAAGCTTCAATAAATCTTCTCCTAATTCAGATGCAGGTTCCAAGTCACAGTTATCTTTAAAAGAGAAAAATAAAACTAAAAAATAGTTTCTCTAATTTTACATGCAAAAATTTTGTTTTCTAATATTAGTAACAGGTTTTTCTACATAATAATTTCAATCAGCTGGGATATATTTAAGTGGCAAATCTAAAATAATATAAAAATTTTAAATATTATGCTTTCTACTTTTGAAATATATATTTCCACTTATACTTAAATACAGATATGCCTTTAAATATATTATCACAAAGTTATACACCAAAAATGAAATTACTTCAGAAACACCTGAATTAGAAAGTTAGCTGAATTAGAAGCTTAGCCTACTAAGCCAAAGCACTAGCCTGAAAATGAGTATTTTAAAGAACTATTGCTAATTCAAAAGATTCACCATTTAATTAGTAGGAAGTGAAATATAATACATCTATACATTAAAATAGAAAATTACTATACCATATATCATAGCTCACATATAGGATATTTATCACTGGATATTATGGTATCTGAATAGAGGTATATACATACCATACATACATATGTATGCATACAAACATGTATATTTAATGTACGTGTGTGTATATATATATATATGAAAAATACTACCTGGTGTCAAATTAAATTTTACCTGAGGCTGTCTCTGTTCTTTGAGTTCCTACCTAATAAGCTATATCCTAACTTGGCACATAAATAAACCAAAACCTAATTTAGAGGTATACATTTTTAGTAACAGCCATATCTCAGCCAATCACAGGCAGCCTACTGAATAGATGTAAATGCCTAGCTGTAACCACTCAAGCTTTTTCTGTGCTTTACTTCCGTGTTCTGTCTATAAATACTCCCTGCCTACTCTGTAGCCACAGCTCTCTGAATCTCTTATGGTTCAGCGTGCTGCCAGATTCATGAATAGTTCTTTGCTCAAATAAACTCAGTTAAATTTATTTTGTCTATATTGTTCTGAATTCCTTACTTTGTGATATTAATATCTGTTTCCAAGAAAAAAATTGAATATTATATATATAATATCTACCTATGAAGCAAATATGGCAAAATGTTAAATATTAAAACTAAAAAAGTAAACTTATAAAATAATTTATTTTTTCTAGTTTTTCTTTTAACAACTGTATATCTTTATTTAGCCAGTCCAGAAACTATTTAGCCAGTCCATCTGATGAGGATCAGTTCCTGGTGAGAAGATTCACACTAAATTTACAAGTCTGGAGTATAAACCACAATGCCAGTATTGGCTCCCCCACTGAAAGAGATCCAGACTCTGACTACTACTCAACATCTCCACTGCTACCTCCTAGTCCAAGCCACCATCCTCCCTCAGCGGGATTTCTGCAATAACCTTATAACAGGTCGTCTACTTTTGATGCACACAATCTATTTACAACAAAGCTTCCAGAGCAATATTTAAAATGCAATTCAAAGGCCGGTGCCACGGCTCACTAGGTTAATCTTCCGCCTGTGGTGCCGGCACCCCAGGTTCTAGTCCCAGTTGGGGTGCTGGATTCTGTCCCGGCTGCTCCTCTTCCAGTCCAGCTCTCTGCTATGGCCCGGGAATGCAGTGGAGGATGGCCCAAGTGCTTGGGCCCTGCACCCGCATGGGAGACCAGGAGAAGCACATGGCTCCTGGCTTCAGATCGGCCGCAGCGCTCCTGCCATAGCGGCCATTTGGGGGATGAACCAACGCAAGGAAGACCTTTCTCTCTCTCTCTCTCTCTCTCTCTCTCTCTCTCACTGTCTAACTCTGCCTGTCAAAAAAAAATATTTAAAAAAAAAAATGCAATTCAGAACACAACCCACCCCAGTTCGAGCCCTCCTATGGCTCTATTTCCTTTGTGGTTGGCTGGGCAGAAGTTTGGATACCCTGGGCATATCACTTGCTGCTGCATCTGAAATGGGGGCAGTCTTGCGGGAGTAAGCCTTTAATTCTAGATAGCATCAGAATTAAACGACTACGGGTGGCACTGTGGTTCAACACCGGTAAAGCTGCCGCCTGCAGTGCAGGCATCCCATATGGACACTGGTTCAAGACCTAGCTATTCCACTTCCAATCCAGCTCTCTGCAATGGCCTGGGAAAACAGAAGATGGCCCAAGTGCTTGGGCTCCTGCACCCACGTGGGAGACCTGGAAGAAGCTCCTGACTCCTGGCTTTGGATAAACCCAGCTCCGGCCGTTGCAACTATTTGCAGAGTGAACCATTGGATGGAAGACCTCTATCTCTCTCTCTCTTTACCTCTGCCTCTGCCTCTCTGTAACTGACTTCCAAATAAATAAATAAATCTTTAAAAAAAATAAAAAAGAAAGAAAGAAGAATTAAACAATTAGATACCCAGGTGGCATCAGAGAATTTGTTGGTGTGTGGAAAAAATGATAGATATTTGGTGTCAAAAAAGTGAGGGCAGGAAAAAAATGACACAACCACAAATACCCATAACTCAGTGTGACCAAACATGAAGTCATCAGTTCACTCAACTATAAATTTACCCTCCTTATAATACTGAAGCCTGCAACAGAGTTCAATCAAACTCTTTAACATGGCTTATGAGCAAGGCCATCACATGTTTTGGTTTGCCTGGGATAGTCTCAGTTATTTCCTGCTACCCCAGAATAATTATTAATGGCAACCTTTTCACTCTCAAAAATGTTCCTGTTTGGACAAAATGGCTCTTCATGATCTGCTCCTCCTTCCATCTCCAGGCTCTCCTCTTCCCTTACTGTGATCCTTCCTGCCCCCTGGTCCACCACACTCCCTCAACTATTTCTGGTTTTCCAAATAGGCCATATGCCTGGCTCTCTCTGCTCTCAGGAGTACAGCTGATTAAAGAAAATTCTGAGATGTTCTAAAACTACAAGGACCTGAGGATAGAGTGGGGTGGGAGATAAGGGCAGTTAATCAGTTAACAGCTGCCCCTGAAATCAACAGAAGACTCTTTATATACTGAAACTTTGACATAAGCCCCATCACAACCTACTCACATATAAACTTTCCAGACTGTTAACCCCAAACAACCAGAAGCAAAAATTACTTTTCCTTAGAGACTGCCCTTTTATCCCAAAGCTTTTCCCTATTTCCTGTTATTCTGCTCCTCTTAACTATAACCAATGTAGGTACAATGTAATGTTCTTTGCTTCCCTGAAGTTTACAAAAATACTCTTGGCATTTTCCAATTGCTACACAGCTTTCCCGCTGGAAGTTGCAGGACTTTGTCCTAGGTCCTGGTCCTTCCTCTTTCTGGCTAACATTTGTAACGGCTCAATAAACCCCACTTTTTAAGGAACTGCTGGTCTGAAGAGTTTTGGATCGGCATAGTCATGCTGTTTCATTTGCCTGGAATACCTCTTGCTTAAATGTTTTTGCTTCATTAACATCTGGTTTTTTTTTTTTTTTTTTTTTTTTTTTTTGGAGGGGAGGGGGAGTATTTAATTCAGAAATTACTCCCTCTATGTAGCTTTCTCTGGAAGCCTAAGCTCAGGTTACATATACCCTATAAGTGTCCTCATAATATATTGTACATGACTCACCTAACTATATATCCCACTCTAAAATGATGCACAGAATATTATTTTGTTCACTCTTACATCTTTAAAAACCTAGCACAGGGGCTGGCGCCGTGGCTCACTTGGCTAATCCTCCACCTGCGGGACCAGCATCCCATATGCGCACTGGTTCTAGTCTCGGTTGCTCCTCTTCCAGTCCAGCTCTCTGCTGTGGCCTGGGAGGGCAGTGGAGGATGGCCCAAGTGCTTGGGCCCCTGCACCCACATGGGAGGCCAGGAAGAAGCACCTGGCTCCTGGCTTCGGATTGGTGCAGCACCGCCGTAGCAGCCATTTGGGGAGTGAACCAACGGAAGAAGATCTTTCTCTCTCTCACTGTCTATAACTCTACCTGTCGATAGTACATGGACCTCACAAGAGACAAATAAAAACACCAAAACAAAAAACCTAGCACAATGTAGATACTCAATTTTAAAATGTGATGAATGATTAGAATGGCATAAACCAGCAGTAAGCATAAAAGCATGGAAGTGGCAAAACACAGTTCTATGGGGAAACATCAAGTAATTCTATAGAATAGCTTAAGGAGTACGTGGGGGTTCTGCAGAGAGGAGACAGCAGAATTCTACCCAAGAATCAGCACACAAACTTCCCTGATACCATAGGAAGGAAGCTGAGGTTTAAATTAGAGCTGTGGGAAACAATTGAATAATTTAAAGATTTATTTATTTTATAGGCAGAGTGACAGAGAGAGGGAGAGACAGAGACATATAAAGATCTTCTATCCAATGGTTCATTCTTCAAATGGCCAAAACAGCCAGCACTAGTCGAGGATGAAGCCAGGAACCAAGACACCCCAGGGGTGGCACTGCGGTGCAGTGGGTTAAACCCATGGCCTTCAGAGCTGGTATCCCATATGGGCACTTGTTCAAGCCCTGGCTGCTATGCGTCTGATCCAGCTTCTTGCTAATGCCCTGGAAGAAACAGCAGAACATAGCCCAAGTGCTTGGGTCCCTGCCATCTATGTGGGAGATCTGGAAGAGGCTCCTGGCTCCTGGCTTTGGCCTTGCCCAGCCCTGGCTGTTGAGGATATGTTGGGAGTGAACCAGAAGATGGAAGATATGTTTCTCTGTGTCTCTCCCTCTCTCTCTGTAGCTCTTTCAAATAAATAAATATTTTTTAAAAAAGGACTCCATCCTGGTCTTCCATGTGGGTAGCTGGGACTCAAGTACTTTGGCCATGTTCTGCTGCTTTCCCAGTGCATTAGTAGGGAGCTGGATTGGAAGTGGAGTCCAGGACTCCAACTGGCACTCTGATAGCTGATGCTGGCATCACAAGTGATGGCTTAACCTGCTGTGCCACAATGCCAGTCCCCCCTACCCACCCTACTGAATCATTTTAATAAGATATCAAGCTGTTCCATGGTCACACTTGTAATAAACTAACATTGCCCTATATAACACAAACAGAGGATAGCATGAGACCTGAAGACACAAATTTTTGCAAATTCTTTTTTTTTAAATGTTTATTTATTTTTATTTATTTGGAAAGAAATAGAGAGAGGGGTTCCATCTGCTGGTTTACTGTTCAAATGCCCACAACATTAACAGCCAGGGATGTACTAGGCTGAAACCAGGAGCAGGAATTTCATCCAGGCCTCCCACGCGGGTGGGACCCAAATACTTGAGCCATCATGTGCTGTCTACCAAGGTGTGCATTAGCAGGAAGCTAGATATGAAGCAGAGGTGCAACTCAATCCCAGGCACTCTGGTATGAGATAAGGGGTCCCAACTGGCAGCTTAATCAGTTGCACCATGATGCCCAAACCCTGGGAAGCAAATTCTCAAAGAAAATGGAAGAGTCCTAAAATAAAGAAATGGCAGAAAGATGAGAAAGAGAAGTACTTAAGGATATTTAGGCGATAAATCACCAAACATGGTCATGAATGAAATGAAAAGCAAGAAAATATTGAGAAGAAAGACAGTGATATAATTAACATGGATAGGGCATTTAAGAAAAAGGCAGACTGGGAGGCAGGCATTTGGTGCAACAGTTAGGTCGCTGCTTAGGATGCCCACATGCCAGATTCAAGTCCCAGCTCCTCTACATCTGATCCAATGTCCTTCTTTTTTGAATTTAATTTAATTTATTTGAGAGGTAGCATTACAAACAGAGAGGGAAGACAGAGAGAAAGGTCTTCCATTCACTGGTTCACTTCACAACAGGCCACATCGGCCAGAGCTAAGCCGATCTGAAGACCTGGAGGAAGCTCTCCCATGAGGGTGCAGGGGCCCAAGCACTTGGACCATCCTCCACCCCTTTCCAGGCCATATCAAAGAGCTGGATCAGAAGAGGAATAGCTGGGACATGAACTGGCACCCATATAGGATGCTGGCACCACAGGCGGATGCTCAGCCTACTCTGCCACAGCGCCGGCCCCCAGAATGTTCTTCTAGTATGGATATTGGGAGACAGTAGGTAATGACTACTTGGGTCCTACCTCCCATGTGGAAGACCTGGATTGTGTTTCAGGGTCCTGGCTTTGGCCTGGCTCAACCCCAGCTGTTGTAGGCATTTGGGGAGTAAATTTGTGAATGGGAGATCTCTATCTGTGTATCCTTCAAAAAAAAATGAAAAAAGAAACTATATTAATTAACTTTAAAAAGAAAAGGGCAAACTTGGAGAAGCAAGTGATAGGGTTATTTTGGCACAGGTTAAACTTGATATTTACAGTATATTTAAAGATATGTTTAGCCAGGTTTGGACATGAAATGCAAGAAAAACAAGAATATCATTTCCTTAATGGGTAGAAGATACATCAGTGAAGAAGACTGAGGGATGGCCAAGAAGGAAAATCAGGAGGGTATGGTATCACAGAAGACAGAAAAGGTTCCAAGGAGGGGCAGCAGGGATATGAAAGATTGCAAAGAGAGTAATAAGATGTTAGACAAAAAATGTCAGACTAGCAACTAGGAGGTCACGGGTGAACCTGGAGTTTTTCCATGCAGTGACAGAGAAAGCAGTCAAAGAGCATGGGAGCTCTTTTCACTTCTACTCACAACTTCTTAGGCCACTTGAAAGGGCTGTTGTGGGGCCATGGCAGAGCTCTATACTAGACACAGGATACCAAAGGCTGGCTCTGCCAATTGTTGTGTGGCCTTGGGAAAGCTTCTATGCATTCTAAGCCTTAGGGTCCTTAGCTATAAAATCAGTCTGTAACCACTTACTTCTTTGGGTTATATGAGACTAAATGTGATAAAGTGTATGAATGGATCTACCTCAAAGCCTAGAATGTCTATTCACTCATTCATAATAAGACATGGTGACCATAAAAGAGAAGAAATCTAACCAAGCTTAAATCAGTTTAGTTGTTTTCCTTGTTGCACTAAACATCAGTGATCCTTTAGTTAACAGATATTTTCATACACTTTTACAGTCAATTCTACTATAATACTTGTCTTGAAAACAATTTGAGAAAAACCTGAATTTTGAGTTTGCTCAGATACAATTTCATACACTGTTACAGAAAGCTCGATTTAAGAAATTCCCTTAGTTCAAACAGGCACCAGAGGCTGGGTGGAGGATCAGCAGAAGCAGTTTATTAAAGTTGACAGGCCCAGGGGAATCACTTCCCAAGACTGGGCATCTGAACCAGGTTCCTTACAATATTTATAGGTTCATCAGCATCGTGCATTAACAGTTACAAAAACTGGTAGGCTTAGTGTAGCCTGCAGGACTCAGGATCACCCACGAGGAACTTGAGACCAAGCTTACAGGGAACTTAAGCAGGGTGGTGGTTGCAGAGAACCGAGATTAGGACACCTACCCAGGCATGCCTACAACTATGGGGAACCAAGATATGGATGACTGTCCAGACATGCCATACCTATGGGGAACTAGAACAGGGGATACAGTAAACAGACAGTAGGATATTTGCCCTCCTCATGGGTCTTGTCTGTCTCGTCTCTGGTCACAGCCTAACTTCCTCTTCAACACAAGAAACACTAGGACAATGCAGAAAACAGCATTCAATTGAACCACGTAAGAATACACAAAGCACACACACACACAAACACACACACACACACACAAACATACACACACACATCTACCAGACACCTCAGTTTACTGTATATGTTATGAGCCTCACCCAACCATATCCAGTGTTACAAATTTCCATCTGATTTCATAAGACTACTGTTAGGAGAAAATTTCCTATGATTATTTTTATGTTTTTGCATGGTATAACCTTTCTGAGCAAAGCACTGGTAAACTTGGCTAAACAGTGATGAAATGCAAATATGCTTGGAAGGTAAAGATAATATATTGCCTCAGAAATATTTAGACTTACTTCCCCTGGAAGCCAGGTCCTTTCAATTCAGGGACCTAATACAACCTTCCATTCCTTTCCCCTCCCCAGAGATTTACCTTCCAAAGTAACAGATCTTCCAGCAGCACATAAAAGCTTCCTAATTTTGTTGCTCCTCTCCTGTAGCACAATCCCCCACTACTTGGGCGCCATAACATCAAGCCCTTACTACACTGCCTCTTAGGGTTTTGGGGTTGACAATTGGCCTGAAGATACTCTATGAGTAGTAAATGATCTGTTCTCTGTCTACTTAATATCTTCTTTCCACTGATTCCCAATGATTTACAAGCTGCGATCTTTCTCACACCCACTTCTACAAGCAAACTAACTTCAGGTCTTTTTCAAGGTAAAATGCCAAATGTATTGTAGACATTTTCTTTTCTTTTTAAAGATTTATTTATTTATTTGAAAGTCAGAGTTACAGGGGCTGGTGCTGTGGCACAGTGAGTTAAAGCCCTGGCCTGAAGCGCTGGCATCCCATATGGGCACGGGTTCTAGTCCCGGCTGTTCCTCTTCCGATCTAGCTCTCTGCTATGGCCTGAGATAGCAGTAGAAGATGGACTAAGTCCTTGGGCCCCTGCACCCATGTGGAAGACCCAGAAGAAGCTCATGGCTCATGGCTTTGGATCAGCGCAGCTCCAGCCGTTGCAGCCAACTAGGGAGTGAACCAGCAGATGGAAGACCTCTCTCTCTGTAACTCTTTGAAATAAATAAAATAAATCTTAAAAAAAAAAAGGCTGCACCATTTTAAAAAATATAAAAATAAAGAGTTACAGAGAGAGAGAGAGATTGATTTTCCATCTGCTGAGTCACTCCCCAGATGGTTGTAACAAAGCCAGAAGCCAGGAGCTTCATCCAGATCTCTCCTGTAGGTGGCAGGGGCCCAAACACTAGTGCCATCTTCCACTGCTTTTCCCAGGCAATTAGCAGGGAGCTGGATTGGAAGTGGAGCAGCTGGGACACAAATTGGTGCCCATATGGGATGCTATTGTCACAGGCAGTGGCTTTACTTGCTACACGACAACAGTCCCTATAGGCATTTTTTTAACCATTCAACATACATAAAATTAGGTTATCATTTTTATTAGTTTCCTGTCTTTTTTACGTGTATCATAACAAAGCTTTTGTATAGCATTAATGTTTTTTGTTGCATGGGATTTTTTAAGGAATGCATATATTATATAATAACAGAATAGACTATACTTTTCTAAAGCTTTTTTATGGTGTAGATTGGAATAAGGACAATAAGTGGACACTTAAATGATTAAAAAGAGAATTGTGAATTTTTTTTGGGATTCATTCATAATAATCTCATCTCCAATAACCTGGGGAAACTGGAAGATGACAGTATTTTCATTTCCCCATGATTATTTTTATAAAAAAAAGTACAGCAGATTTTTGAAGTATATATTTCTCCAATTATATCAGAATATAATTATTTCATGGCTACAACATTTTATAAAAATCCACAAAACGTATCTCACCATTGGAAATTAAACTGTCATCTCGATCACTGATATCCTCTGGATTTTCAGGCTTTTGAAGAAAAGAATCAGATGATTCTTTACATTTTTGAAAATTAAAGTCCATTTTTTTTTGTGATAGGCCACTCTTCACTATCTTTTTCCTAAGATTTTCTTCTTCGTAGTTTTTTATATTTCTGTTGGATGAATATACAATCCTGAAATATAAAATATAAAATATTAATTAAAATAACATTGGTGATTCTTTAAAAAAAAAGCTATTTCCCAGTGTGCTTTTGATGTTATTTGCCTAATATATCATGTAATTTCAAAATAAATATCATATAATTAATGATATAAATATCCATATACCTATATATTTATGTATATATGTGTTTTCAATATTTTAAACATGGGTCACTTGAAGAAAGGTCAACCTAATACAGTAGAAAATTTGAATATAGTCTAAAAAACTTTTTAGTGTTAAAAAGTAATATACAATGCCAAAAAATTATATAACCTAAATGAATTGGCAAGTCCAAGAAAGACAAAAACTACCAAAACCCAATTCAAGAAGGAACAGAATATCTGAGTAGACCCACAACAAGTAAATAAATTCAGTTAGTAAACCGAAACTTCCCACAAAGAGAAAACCAGGACCACTTCACTGATGAACTCAATCAGATATTTAAAGAACTAACATTAACCTTTCACAAACTTTTCCAAAAACAGAAAAGGAGGGAACACTTCCCAACTCATTCTATTAGGCCAGTTACTGATACAAAAGAAGCCAGACATCAAAAGAAACACATAGATCAATGTTCCTAATTAACATACGTGAAAAAAATCTTCAGCAATAGCAAACTCAATACAGCAATATATAAAAAGGCTTAAGCATCACAATCAACTCAAATTTATCTCAGGAATTCAACAGTGGTTAGACAAAAGAAAGTTAATGTTATATACCATATCAATAGAATAAAGCACAAAAATCACATTATCATTTCAACTGACACAGAAAAATCATTCAGCAAATCTAATACCTTGTCATAATAAAACACTCAATAAACTAGAAATAGAAGGGAAACACAGTAATGTCCTCAATCTGATTAAGGACATCTATGAAAAGCCCACAGCTGGGGCTGGTGCTATGGCAAGCAGGTACAGCCACCGCCTGTGATGCCAGCATCCTATATGGCCACCGGTTTCAATCCTAGCTGCTCCACTTCTCATCCAGCTCGCAGCTAACATGCCGGGGAAAGCAGTGGAAGATGGTCCAAAGCCTGGGCCCCTGCACCCACATGGAAGCTCCTGTCTCCTGGCTTCAGACCAGTCCATTGCAGTCATTTGGGGAGTAAACCAGCAGATGCCAAGATCTGTCCGTCTCTTCTCTCTCTCTCTCTCTCTCTGTAACTCTGCCTTCCAAATAAATAAATAAGTGTTTAAAAAGAAGAAAAGGAAGAAAAGAAAAGCCCACAGCTAAAACCATACTTAATGGTAAAAGACTGAAGGCTGGGGTGGGTATTGTGGCACAGCAGGTTATGCTGCTGCTTGGGATGCCTGCCTTTCATTTCAAAGTCCTGGGTTCAAGGCACACCTCTGCTCTAGAAGAGTTCTCCCTCTGTATCTCTCTCACCTTTCAAATAAGTTTTTAAAAAACGCTTTAAAATAATAATAGTAAAAGACTGGGACAGGCATTATGGAGCAGCAGGTTAAGCTGCCACTTCGGATGCCCACATCCCATATCTGAGTTCAGGTTCTGGCTACTCTATGCTTTCAATCCATCTTCCTGCTAATGCTCTTGGGAGACAGCTGATAATGGCCCAAGTATTTGGGTTCCTGATATTCACAGGGAAACCTAGATGGAGTTCCTGGCTCCTGGCTCCTGGCTTGGGCCTGGCCTAGGACCAGCTGTTGTGGGCATATTAGTAGTGAACCAGCAAATGGAAGACTGTATGTATGTGTGTGTGTGTCTGTCACTCTACCTTTCAAATAAAATAATCTTAAAAAAAAAAAAAAAAAGACAAAGCTTTCCTCCCAAGATCAGCAAGGATGTCTGCTCCCACCACTTCTATTCAATGTTTTACCAGAAGTTCTAGCCAGGGCCATCAGGCGAGTAAAACAAATAAAAGACATCCAGGTTGGAAAGCAACAAGTAAAGTTATCTATTTTTACAAATGACAAACTTATATGTTAAAAAATCCTTAGAAGCCTAACAAAAAACTGGTAAATTTATCAACATTGTAGGATACAAGAACAATATGCAGGGCCAGCACTGTGGTGTAGTGGGTAAAGCTGCAGCCTGCAGTGCTGGCATCCCACATGGGCGCCAGTGCCGGCTGCTGCACTTCTGATCCAGCTCTCTGCTACGGTCTGGGAAAGCAGTGGAGGATGGCCCAAGTCCTTGGGCCCCTGCACCCACGTGGGAGACCCAAAAGAAGCTCCTTGCTTTGGCTTCAGATCGGTGCAGCTCCAGCTGTTGCAGCCAATTGGGGAGTAAACTAGCAGATGGAACACCTCTCTCTGTCTCTCTGCCTCTCCTCTCTGTGTAACTCTGACTTTCAAATAAATAAATAAATAATTTTTTTAAAAAAGATCAATATGTAAACATGAATTGTATTTCTATATTCTGGCAACAAACAATGCAAAATGAAATTAGAAAATAATTCAATTTACAATATCATCAAAAAATAAAATACTGGGGCCAGAGTTGTGGCACAGCAGATTAAGTCATTGCTCATGACACCAGCATTCCTTATTGTAGACCTACTTCAAATCTCAGCTACTCCACTTCAAATCCAACTTCCTGCTAATGTGCCTGGAAGACAGCAGAAGATAACCCAAGTACCTGGGCCCCTTCTATCCATGTGAGAGACTAGGATGGCATTCTAGGCTACTAACTTCAGTCTGGCCCAGACCTGGCTGTTGTAGCCATTTGGAAAGCGAACCAGTGGATGGATAATCTCTCTCTCTCTCTTTCTCTCTGTGCCTTTCAAAAAATAAACAAATCTTTAAAAAATAAAACACTTGGGAATATATTTAACAAAGAAGTTTAAGACTTGTACATTGAAACCTATAACACAATGTTGAAAGCAATTAAATAAAAAGAAATACATTCCAAGTTCATGCACTGGAAGATGTAATATTGTTAAGACAGGAAGCACTCTCTGAATTAATCTACAGATCTGATGCAATCTCGACCTAAATTCCTGCTTTTTTTGCAATAATTGACAAGCCAATTGCCTACTTTTTTATCACTACAACTAAATACCTAAGACAAGCGATTTATGAAGGGAGGTTTATTTTGGCTCACATTTTGGAGGTTCAGAGTTCAAGCTGGGGCAGCCCCAGTGACCTGGTATCTGATGACAGTGCTGGGTGGTGGAATGCATGCAGCAGAAGCATCACATGCTAAGTCAGGAAGCAGAGTGAGAACAGCTGGGCCCAACCGCGTAGATAAGCAGCCCTCTTGAGGGAACTGCCCTCCCACCAAAGGACCCCACAGACACTACAGCTGGATCAAATCTCCACTCTATCAGCAATTAATTTTAACCCATTCATCAATAACATAAGACTTTGGAGACCAAGTCTTCAACACGTGGGCTTTAGGGAACTCCAAATTAATATCCAAACTATAGCACCAACCCTCAAATCCACATAGAAAAGCAAAGGACCCAGAATAGCCACAACATCCTTAACAAAGAACAAAGTCAGAGGATTCACATTTCCCTTTTCTAAGCATCTTACAAAGCCACAGTAACACAGACTCCTTTGCACTGACATAGGATAAATATACAGATCAATGGACTAGAAATGAGTCCAGAACTTAACATCTAAGGGCAAGTGACTTTTGACAAGGATGTCCAGACAATACAACAGGAAAAAAAGAGTCTCTTCAGAAAACAAATGATGCTGAAAAAATTGAATATACAAATGCAAAAGAATGCAGTTTGGCTCAAACCTCACATTATATATGAAAATGAACTCAAAACTGACCAAAAACATAAATTTAAGAGGGAAAGGTATAAAATTTTATAAATAAGCATAAATGAATTTGATGATAGCTTCTTAGATCTGATGCCAAAAACACAAGTAACAAAAGACAGACAAAATGGAAAAATAGAAAAATGAAAGCTTTTGTGCTTTTAAGAATGCCATCAAGAGAATTGATAATTCACAGAATGCTAGAAAACTTCTGTTAAATCACATGTCTGATATCAGTCTAATATGCCAGAATACATAAAAACTCTTATAACCCCATAATATAGACAACTAAATTAAAAATATGACTAGTTGTCCAAAGATAGAGAAATAGCAAATAAGTACATGAAAACATGCTCAACATCATCATCTATCAGAGAAATACAAATTAAACCCACAACGATGAGAGACCAATTATACTCACTAGGTTATATATATAAGGAAGACTGAAGATAATAACAAGTATTGCCAAGGATGTAGAGAAACTAAAACCCTCATACATCACTAGAGGAGTGGAAAATGGTATAGATCCTTTGGAAGAGTCTAGTAGTTCCTCAAAAGGTTGAGCAAGGGCCGACACTGTGGCGTAGCAGGTAAAGCTGCTGCCTGCAGTGTCAGCATCGTATAGGGGCACCGGTTTGGGTCCTGGCTGCTCCACTTCTAAACCAGCTCTCTGCTGTGGCCTGGGAAAGCAGTGGAAGATGGCCCAAGTCCTTGGCCCCTGCACCTGTGTGGGTGTCCCAGAAGAAGCTCCTGGTTCCTGGGTTCGGATTGGCACAGATTTGGCCGTTGTGGCCATTTGGGGAGTGAACCAGCAATGGAAGACCTCTCTCTTTCTCTGCCACTGCCTCTCTGTAACTCTGCTTTTCCAATAAAATAAATAAATCTTAAAAAAAAAAAAAAAAAAAAAAAAAAAAAAGGTTGAGCATAGAGTTACCATGTGGCCCAGCAATTCCCATCCTAAATATATACCCAAGGAAAATGAAAACATAAGAACAAAATCTTGTATATGAATGCTCCTAGCAGCATTACTTATCACAGCCAAAAAACACCATAAAAGGCCATCATTCATCAAAGAACAGATAAACAAAATGTGGTATAGTCATACAATGGATTAACATTTGACAATAAAAATAAGTGAAGTACATTAAATGTCTTCCACTATTTAGCTAATAATAAGTCTCTGAGTTCAGCAAACACTTGAGTCCTCCAAATCACTAAAAAGTTCAACTGAGAGGCTAGCACTGTAGCGTAGCCAACAGTAAGGCTGCCACTTGTGATGCTGGCACCCCATATGGGTACCAGTTCATAGTTCAGCTGCTCCATTTCCAATCCAGGTCCCTGGTAATGGCCTGAGAAAAGCAGCAGACGATGTCCCAAGTACTTGGCCTCCTGCCAACCATGTGGGAGACCTGGATGAAGCTCCTGGCTCCAGCCTGGCTCAGTCCAACTGTTGCAGCCATCTGGAGAATGAACCAGTAGATGGAAGATCTCTCTCTGTCTCTCCCTCTGTGACTCTGACTTTCAAATAAATAAATATTTTAAAAAAAGAAGTTCAACTGATGTCCTATTTTCAAAAATTTTGACAGAACACAAGATGCTGTGGTCTGAATGTTCATGAAGCTAAAATACGTATGTTAAAAGTTAATCCTTAATGTAGCACGTATGAAGAAGCAAGATATTTTGGCATTTGGAAGGTTCTACTTTCAGGAATGGGAGACACAGAAGATGCTATCTGAGAAACTAACCCTCACAAGACACCAAATTTAGGGGTGCCTTGATCTTGGACCTCTCAACCTCTAGAACTGCAAGCAGTAAATTTCTGCTATTTATTAGTAATTCAGTCTAAGGTATTTTGTTTTAGTAGCCTGAATAAACTAAGACATAAGTCCTGAGAATAAAAAGTTATGATCTTATATTTTTTATAAACATAGTTTACTTAAAGCGTCAGGTACCAATAATACAGAAGTCAGTTTGGGGACAGTTTGGAGCCCAGAGAATATATGGCAAAATGTCTAAAGACATTTTGGTCTTTATAATAAAACAGTACTACAGAGCATACCATTCATTCCTCCTCCCTCAGAATCAGTCTCTCTCTTTTTTTAAAGATTTATTTATTTACTTGACAGGCAGAGTTACAGAGAAGGGGAGAGACAGAAGAGAGGTCTTCCATTGGCTGGTTCACTCCCCAAAGGGCTGCAACCACCAGAACTGGGCCAATTGAAGCCAGGAGCCAGGAGTTTCTTCTGAGTCTCCCACGTGGGTACAGGGGCCTAAGCACTTGGGCCATTTTCCACTGCTTCCTCAGGCCATTAGTAGGGAGCTAGATCGCATATGGGGCAGCCAGGACCTGAATCTGCGTCCATATGGAATGTTGGCACCACAAGCAGAGGCTTAACCTACTACGCCACAGTGCTGGCCCCCCAAATCAGTCTTAAGTTCCTACTTAGCCTCTACCAATACTAACCCTCTAATAGTAGTTCTTAGCCTCTACTAATATGAGTTAGTAAGATAATTTGGATTTTAAATTAATTTCCTTAGCTTTTAAAATAGATATTAAACACAGTATATTTAAAAAGAAACAATTACATCTGAGACTTAAATCTGAGGGGAAGAAGATTTTACTTACTGTAAAAATGTCCTAAACTCTGAAGCTTCAACATTCTCCAGAGCAACAGACTCATGATCTGTTAAATGACTCGATGTCGGTCCAACAGTGTAAAAATAGAAGTCAGGAACCCTTGCTAAAAGGACTGCTTTGTGTGCTTTGAACAAAGTACAACCTACAGAGAAAGTAACATCTGCATGGATTTCTTCCCTTAGAAGCCTGTCAGATATAAAAAGAAATCATAGTTTAATTAGTGATGCTAAGAAATGTGATATATTTGTTTTTATAAAAGAGTTTAAAATAACAAATAAGCTAAAAAAGACAAAATAAAGATAAAATACTAGCATAAAAATGAGTTTGTTCTCAGTTCATTCCTAAGAATGTTAGTGTTGGCTTACAATCTTAATTTTCTAAAATTCATAATGCAAACATAATAGGACCACTTTTGCAAAATACCTTTTCTTATTCATTTCTTCTAATAAAATTGATTTTCTGCTATTGATTTTTCTTTAAAATGTAACCTCTTTATAGATTTATTTTTCAACATGGAACACAACATTAACATGGCTATATTAACAATTGAAAATAATCCTTTTTAAAATCTTACCAAAACTGAACCAAAAAAACAATAATGCAACAAATTGGACATAACAATAGACAATTCAGATCAGAAACTGGTACACTTTGTTCTGACTGATGTTAATTACCAAGTCTGAAGTGTAGGCTTGGCGGTCAAGAATGTGACATTTAGCCTTCTTCCACCCCTCTCCCCCTGCCAATGGAATTAATCATTCTCTAATTTATTATTTAAATGATGGACTCAGAGGTTAAATCTATTCAAATGTTTTACTAATGCACAGGCATAGTTACTGATACATATATGTAAAGTGTTTGAGAACAGAAATCAACATCATAATACAAACTGTCATAATCTTTTGTCACTTTGTGGTAACTACATATTTTCACTGTCTAAATACTACATAGCATTTCATATCACTATAGCAATATCATCAGCAAGGGATGTATTCTCAGAGGCCTCTTGTATTGCAGGACATAACTGGTAATCACACCAGGAGGTACACCTCATGGATAAAGATATCCATTACAGTGAAAGTTTGGAAAGTTGCCAATGACACTAACACTCCCCCAACAGCAAGTTAATGGCTCTTTCCTCTAATCCCATCACACTGGGTACATTCCTCTATTACAGTGCCTGTCACTGCATCATTATTATTTCTATGTGCCTTGCTCCCTACCTGAGGATGAACTCCCCAAGGGCAAAAACTATCTTTAGTATACAGCCAAGTGTTCCACACCAGCTTGTTAATGATCCTACTATACCTACGCCAGTGTTGTGGCACAGCAGGTAAAGCTGCTGCCTGCAGTGCCACCATCCCAGATGGGCACTGCTTTGTGTCCTGGCTGCTCTACTTCTGATCTAGCTCTCTGTTATAGCCTGGGAAAGCAGTAGAAGATGGCCCAGGTCCTTGGGCCCCTGCATCTACATGGGAGACCTGGGGGAAGTTCCTAGCTCCTGGCTTCGGATTGGCACAGCTCCTGCTGTTGTGGCCATTTGGGGAATGAACCAGCGGATGGAAGACCCCCACTCCCTACCCCTGCTGCCTCTCCATAACTGTCTTTCAAATAAATAAGCAGATCTTTAAAAAAAAAATTGGCAGGAGTTGAGGCCAGTGTTGTGGCATAAAGTGTTAAGCTGCTGCCTGAGATGCTGACATCCCATATGGGCAATGGTTCAAGTTTCAGCTGCCCTACTTCCAATCCAGCTTCCTGCTGGTGCACCTGGAAGGACAGTGGATGACGGCTCAAGTGCTTGGGTCCATGCCACCAATGTGGGAGACCTGGGTGGAATTCCTGGCTCCTGGTCCACTCTTGACTGTTGCAGCCATTTGGGGGGGAACCAGTGGACAGAAGATCACTCTCTCTGTCTCTCCCTCTCTTTCTGTAGCTCTGCCTTTCAAATAAATAAAATAAATCTAAAAAAAAAAATTGGCAGGAGTTGCTGATTGGATATACAAGGTGAAAGAAAAAAACCTAGGATCTCTCTCAGATTCGGCCCAAATAATTGGGTTCTAGTGATGCCACTGCTTAATTGTTATCTGCTAGTCCAGTTTCCCTCCTCAACTCTAGACATATTTCCAATGGTCTCCCATACATAGCTTCCTGAATTCATTATACCTCTCTCTTTCAAATTTTCTAAGATTTTGGGCCATCTTCCATTCTTCTCTTTTCCTCTTATTTTACAGGTAATCAGTTACCAAGACCATCAATTGTTTCATTTCCATTGACATTATAGTCACTTGACTATTATCAAATCTCCTAGTTGATCTCCTTGCTTCCAATTTCTCTTTTCCTGAAGTTCAAGATCCAAATATGTTAATCCCCTATTTTAAAGACACCAATGGTTCTCCACTGCCTCCTGAATATATTCTAAACACCTCTCTGCAGAAAGGCCTCTGTGATCTAGTCTTAGTCTCTCCATTCTCCCTTATATGCTAACACTTTGTGTGCAATGCCACTCATAATCTTCTTCCAAATAAAGCTACTAAATACATTTATTATTGATATACAGCCCTGGTTTGTACCAATGTCCCTATACTCTAATCACATATGAATGGACAATGGATTGGACCAAGGTATCACTCTCACTTTTTTTTGGCCATTATCTTTCTTGATAGAATTTAAGCGTAAACATCAAAGCATTATCTTACTAATTTTTGATTCTTCTGGATTTAGTATAGGGCTAGGGACCACTGGCTAATGTGGTAGTTAAGCAAAAGAACTCAAATAGAGATGTTCTGTAAGAAACAGGGATCAACTGAGGACACTCTAAGAGCATTACAAGCAAATCCACAATAAAGAAAAATAGAAGGATAAGAAGATAAGCAGAAATAAACGTACAAATGGAAGATCTATTTGCATAGTTACTGCAGAGAAGGTAGAGTGCTTGGGTCATTTTCTGGTTCATATTTTGGTCATGTGACCTTGGCCAAATCACTTTGATGTCTCTGGAGGAAGATCACTATGGCTCTTATTTTGACGTCATTACTTTTTTTTTTTTTTTAAGATTTATTTTATTTATTTGAAAGACAGAGTTACAGAGAGAGGGGTCTTCCATCTGCTGATTTACTCCCCAGGTAGCTGCATGGCTGGCCGGAGCTGCGCTGATAGGAAGCCAGGAGCCAGGAGCTTCTTCCAGGTCTCCCATGTGGGTGCAGGGGCCCAACGACTTGGGCCATCTTCTGCTGCTTTCCCAGGCCATAGCAGAGAGCTGGATGGGAAGAGGAGCAGCCGGGACTAGAAGTGGCACCCATATGGGAAGCCGGTACTTCAGGCCAGGGCTTTAACCCACTGCGCCATAGCGCCGGCTCCTTCTTTATTTCTAATACTCGTCTAGTGCTTCTCTATTCTCATCTGTTAAATGGGAATGATTAAAAAAAGACTTCCCTAATAAGATTCACGAGAGAAGTAAATAAAACATTACAGAAAGCCCAGTGTCTAGCAAATAGGATGGCAACATTAGCTATTTGTTTTTTATAATTATCCTGAATAATGGTACATTTCTCAATGAGGTCTTATCATAAAATTTTCATATCTTAAGCTTCTTTCCAGCTTTATATCAGATCTGGAAAGAATTTCCTGTTTTTTCTCACTTATCCACATATCTCATCACCTCAGGTAACCTAGAGGCATCTCTACTCCTTGTTATTTGGAAGAATCTAATAAAATTTGCTTTCTCAAAATAAATCAATCTCTTTCAAATCTGTGTGTTTTCACCTTGCTTGGATGTCTCCTACTTCTCTTTCCCCAAACTTTACCCAATCAATCCTTAATCAATTCCCAAGAGCTCACTCAAATGTTACTACATAAAGGCTTCCCCAAGTCACCCCACTACCACTCTCACTTTTGTTTGGCCATTATCTTTCCTGATAGAATTTAAGTGCAAACATCAAGGCATTATCTTAATAATTTTTGATTCTTCAGGATTTAGTATAGGGATAGGTACATAGTTCATGCCAGATACTACAATAACATTTGCAGAATAAATCAATAATATGGTTGTGCTTGGAGATTAAAATAGTACCGCATTCAAGGTGGTTGAGTAAGCACATTCAGTTTTGTGGGTTTTGTTTGTTTGTTTGTTGTTTTTGTTTTAAATAACTGGGGCAGGCTCCTAGCACAGCAGGTTGAGCTGTCATCTGCAGTGGCAGCATCCCATATGGGAGCTGGTTCAAGCCCAGGCTGCTCCACTTCTCTTCCAACTCCCTGCTAATGCACCTGGGAAAGCAGCAGAAAATGGCCCAACTCCTTGGGCCCCTGCACCCACACTGGAGACCCAAAAGAAGCTCCTGGCTCCTGGGTTCGGATCAGCCCAGCTCTGGCCATTGCAGCCATTTGGGGAGTAAACCAGCAGATCAAAGATGTCTCACTCTGTCCCTTCCTCTCTTTCTGTAATTCTGCCTTCCAAACAAGTAAATCTTTTTTAAAAACCCTGTATCTATTTTTCTTTGCTTATAATAGAATTTGGGGGTTTAGCATCCTATCTTCAGTTACTACTAGGAAGAGGATAATTTTTTCATCTTGACTGCTGTGCCAAATACCCTTAACTTAGTAACACTTGAAGGCTGGCAAAATAGAATAAAGGCACTGAACAGAGGGAGAATCTCAGCCTCATAAATTCATCCTAAAAACAGAACAACTTCAGGCTTATTTTTTTTTTCATTTTATATCAGTACCCCAGTGGAGAGAAAACAACATCCTGTGTAGACAGACTCAGGGAGCAATCTTTATATTTAAATAAAATTCAGTTTGTGGCTACAGGATCTTTAAGCGTGGGTGAGTTTCTGACAGAAAGCACTCTTAAAATGTTGTATGCTACACACCTGCTATCATTGGCAATTACGTTTATGCTAGTTCAGCGATTCTCAAAGTGTGACCCTGGCTAACAGCATTCAGCATCACTTGGGACCTTGGTAGAGGTGCAAAATCTCAGGCCATCCCAGAGCAACTGAATCAACTATGGGTGGGCACCCAGGAAACCTAAGTCTTCGCAAGCTTCCTGGTCAGGGCCATGTGCACCAAAGTGCAAGAATCAAAGTTCTGTTGGAAATGAAAATTAGCTAGGTAGTGTTTCTAGGCTTCAGCTTCTTTGTAAACTAAAATGGCTTTCTCTGGATTCTGAGCAGCCTGCTACTGACATTACAAAAGTGACGCTTTAGGACAGTCTCCCATTTGAATGGATCCTCTGAGAACTAGAGCTGCTGGGAATTAGAGTGTCCTAGGTGAAAGAGAGAGTCTACTATTTAAGCATTTCTGTAAATTATTTAAAGAGAAATAAGGAAAAGGCCCTCAAAGCTTCTGTAACTTATTCTAGCGTTCTTCAGTCCAAATAAATACTGATTTTCCTATTTTTCTTAAAATTGTTGAAGCTCGTTAAAATTGTCTAAGTTTCAGGATCTAGATCCACGCTGACCTTAGCGATTTGTCGTTCAAGCCACTAAAGCCTGCCCGTGTCGTCACCGTCTTTTAGCATAAATCAGTGCTGCACACAATTAGGATCTTAACTTTTGTTTTCCTTTTGAATCCGGTACCAGTGTCTGAGCTGCTGCGGATTGGTTATTAGGGGAGAGCAAAGTTAGCCGAGAGGCTGACGAACGTCCCGCCCTGGTCTGAGGCCGAGAGAACCGGGCGGGGAGGGATGGGAGGCCGAGCCCGTGGAAGCCCCAGCGGCGGGGGCCGAAGTGGGCGCCGAGGCACTGAAGCAGTTCCCGCCTCCTCCTACCTGAGCAGATCTTGGGCGAGCTGCTCCGACACCATCGCCTTCAGCCGGCGCCTCTCACTGGGCCCCTTCCTCGGCAGCCCCTTAACGCAAACGCCAGGGGACCCCAAAGGCACCCCCGGGGCCTCACCGCCCTCCCCACACCGGGCCATGCCCCGCAGGCCGGGCACTCCGCCTCACGTGCCCCGCCTAAGAGCGAGAAGGGGGCGTTGCCGACCAAACGCTCCACTCCTACCCGAATCCGCCCCCTAAGGGAAAAGGTTGACGCCTCTCTGTTTTGTTGACGGTCCCTTAGAGAAGCCGGACACCCCGGCGCGGGAATCTCGGAAGCTCGGACGACGCGGGCACGTGACCGGGCAGGGTGTGCGCAGGCGCAGCGGCTCTGTTTTCACCCGCCGGGCCACTCCGCCCCCTCGCCGGGGAGCTCACAGTCCCGCGGGGCATGTCCAGTTGCTGGCCCCCAACACTGGCGGTCTTTTTTTTTTTTTTTTTTTGCCTTTCAGTTTTATGTTCACCAATCATTTAAATAAGCATTTTATTGACCCTCCAAGCGCGGTTTTCAAGCTGTGGCCTTCCTAGCGGGGGGAGGGGCGGGGGACTCCCCCCCCCCCCAAATGACAGGTTCAGGAGACCGTTCCAGCGGTGAGCTACACTTCCTCACCTGTCACTCAACCTTGGGGGATAAACGCTTTAGGCAAGAGAAATTGAGGGTGAGGGGAGGTATGCGATTAACTTGTTGAATTCTGTCAGAGAACAATCCTGAGTCTCATACAAAGGTGTACTTCAATCGTCTGGAAGACCCTGTCCTCAAACGAGGAATGGTTCATTGGCCCGCCCTTGGATTTCAGAAAGGTCAGATTATATTACAGAGTTTTGTATGTAAAGCCCCAAAATTCATGACCTGGAAGAGAGAAGGAGATAAGATGGGACACAACACAGTCTTTGACTAGGCAGAGAAGTGAATGGATGAACTATAGAATTTTTATGATTTTGCCCGGAAGGCAGTAATGCTGATGTGAAAATCATTTAAAAATCTTTTTGGTACTATGTGATTACTTCCTCCAAAAGAAGGATGCTCAGAAGTTCTACTTCGTTACAAGCTCTGCACAGGTAAAGAATGATCACTGCTTGGAAACTGTATGGACTTGGTTGTGGGAGAGTACCAGAGTCCTCTATTTCTCCAAAGAATGCTCTCTATCAAATTCAGACGCCTAAATTCTGAAAAATATGATGGGATAATTCTTAATTATTCCTATGGAAAAGAGAGGGGTCAAAGATGTTATAATATATTAGGGAGAACAAACTGATCCTAAAAGCAAAAAAAATCTGGCAAAACCTTCAAGAAAAACATTTGCTGAGACCCTTCTGAGGAGTGTCACGTACACGGCTATTAATCTTGCCAACCAGGTCAATTTGACTTGGATAGTGTTCATCATAGTGTCTGTTGTCTTAGTCACCGGGAGCAACATTACTTGACCTTTTTTCTAACTATTCCTAGAAGTTTCCTTCTTAAAATTAATCAATGGCTTTCTTCTCAGTATATTGTCTCTGAATGTGCTTTATAACCAACTAGTCATGCTCTAAAATTAGTAATTTCCAATTTACAAGAAATTCACCTTCCCTGTACCTAAACCCACCTTTGTGGACCGAACTAATATGTTCTGTTGTGCCTGAGCGAGTGCTAACGGAGAAGCGCCACACAATGATAAATTTTAGAGTCCTTTATTGCCAGCAGCCAAGAGTGGCTCATGCCCCAAAGAACTCTCAACCCCGAAGCCCAAAGCAACAGGGTTTAAAAAGGCAAAAACTGCAGAACTGGGAGGGGAATACATGGTTGCTAAGATCAAGGGGGAATACATATTACTAGGGTCAAGCTGACCTAAAACCTATGCGAAACTAATATCAATTATAATCTTGACAATACCAGTTACAATCTTTTTTTAAAAAAATATTTATTTATTTATTTATTTGAGAGGTAGAGATAGAGAGAAAGGTCTTCCTTCTGTTGGTTCACTCCCCAGGTGGCCGCATCGGCCAGAGCTGTGCCGATCTGAAGCCAGGAACCAGGTGCCTCCTCGTGGTCTCCCATGCGGGTGCAGGGGCCCAAGGACTTGGGCCATCCTCTACTGCTTTCCCAGACCACAGCAGAGAGCTGGACTGGAAGAGGGGCAGCCAGCACTATAACCGGGCCCATATCGTGTGCCGGTGCCACAGGCGGAGGATTAACCTGCACCACGGAGCCAGCCCCAACTAGTTACATTCTTAACAATATCAATTATAATCTTGATGTTAATCCAAATATTGGTTTTAATCATATGTAGGACACAGACAAATTACATTTTTATCATTAACCCAGATGCAGCCTATCTACTTTCAAGCTTGAGCGATCATGCTGGGGGGTTTCTCTGCTCTGCCAAGTGTGATGTAGTGGACTGCAATTGCATGACTGTCTTAGATCATAGTTTCAGACCAGAGTCTCAGGGTGAGGGGGGTGCCTTCCCAGAATGGAGTCTCGGGTTGTGCTCCAAAATGAAGTCCCTACTGTCAGGGTGTTAGTTCGGTTCATTGTGTGATGATTAAAAAAAAAATTTACTGTTGTAGAATATTTAAATTCTGGCTACAATCTGACCACTTCGAAATACTTCTCAAGACTCTGTAAGTCATCAAGCATGTGTCTCACAGACCTAAATCACTCATATTCTGCCCCTCATAAACGTTACATTAACCCTATTTTAAAGATTTATTGACTTTTACTTATTTGAAAGGCAAAGCATGGCTGGCACCACGGCTCACTAGGCTAATCCTCTGCCTGCGGCGCCAGCACACTGGGTTCTAGTCCCGGTTGGGGCGCCGGATTCTGTCCCGGTTGTCCCTCTTCCAGGCCAGCTCTCTGCTGTGGCCCGGGAGTGCAGTGGAGGATGGCCCAAGTGCTTGGGCCCTGCACCCGCTTGGGAGACCAGGAGAAGCACCTGGCTCCTGGCTTCGGATCAGCGCGGTGTGCCGGCCGCAGCGGCCATTGGAGGGTGAACCAACGGTAAAGGAAGACCTTTCTCTCTGTCTCTCTCTCTCTCTCACTGTCTAACTCTGCCTGTCAAAAAAAAAAAAAAAAAAAAAAAAAAAAAAAAAGGCAAAGCAAAGACATTGGGAGGGAGAGATCTTCTACACGCTGATTCACTCCCCAAATGCCCACACTGCAGGTGGTGGCTTTATGCGCTACACCACAACACAGGCCCCACCATCTAGTTTTAAAATGGAGGCAAGCTACACCTTTTTGGGTGAATTTAGCCAGCTTATCCATGAGCATAGTTTAGAAGATTTGTGGAAATACATATGATTCTGTGATTCCTCTTCTGGGTATGTACACCCAAAGCAAATAAAAGCGGCACCTTACAGAGTTACTACCCCTGCCGTCTCCATCACCGCATTGTCACAATAGCCAAGATTTGATAACAAACCTAGTTATCCCTGGACAGCTGAATGAGTATTATTCAGCTGTAAAAAAAAAAAAAAAACCTGCCATTTGTGACAACATGGATACATCCAGAGGACATTATGTTAAGTGACATAAACCAGGCACAGAAAAACAAATACTGAGGCTGGTGTTGTGCCTGGAACACAGGCTCCCACATGAGCACTGGTTTGAGTCCCAGCTGCTCTGCTTCTGATTCAGCTCCCTGCTAATGTGCCTGGAAAAGCAACAGAAGGTGGCTCAAGTGCCTGGGCCCCTGCCACCCATGCGGGATGGTGTGGCCCAGTCCTGGCTGTTGTGACCATTTGGGGAGTGAAGAGTGAACTAGCAGATGGAAGATCTCTCTTTATATATAACTGCCTTTCAAATAAATAATCTTTTTTTAAAAAGCCTTTTTAAAAAGACAAATATTGCATACTGCAATTTATATGTAGAATCATTTTTTTTAAGACTTATTTACTTTATTTGAAAGGTAGAGTTACAGAGAGAGAGAGATCTTCCATCCACTGGTTCACTCCTCAGATGGCCACAGTACCCGGGGCTGGGCCAGACTGAAGCTGTTAGGTAGGAAGTCAGATATGAGCTTATGTGTGTATGACAGGCCTAAAGAGAAGACATCTATATCCAGCATATGCATCTACATCTCAAATAATCGATAATGTTTCATGGGCAGCCTGGCATTCACATCCTGCCCTGCCCCCTTCTACCTGATAACCTGCCAGGTGGAGGTCCCCGCCCCTTCTGCCTGACAAATCTTCCACAATCTCCCAGATGCAGCCCAGTATCTGCATTTCAAACACTCTGCTCCGGATCCCCATTCTCTAGGGGGTCCTGCTCACCCTTCCTCTGAACCCAGGATGGCACCAGCTAGGCTTCCTCCTCTCTGATACTTTCAAGGGAAAACTCAGATAGGAGCTTCTTAATATTTACAGCCATAAAATCCTTTGTTTCAGGAGGAAATGTGTGAAGACAGAGACCCATCTCCTTAAAAACCCCCAGCCTCAACCGGACTGCGCACTCAGCCCTCTGCCTCTCTGCTGAGCTGCCTGCCTGGTCTGGCCAGGTGTAATCTTTCTACTCAACCATGTAACCTCAATCCTTCCCCACCCCCAAGTCGGAACGACTGGGCACTCTCTCCCAGGTCCTGTCTGGAGAGGTGCCCATCCATTCTTATGGATGTCCCTTCCCTAATAAACTTTGTTACTTTACTTTCCACTACTCTGTCTCACGCCTGAATTCTTTCTTGCACGAAGACAAGAACCCTGCATTTTCTCCGGTAACAAAGCCAAGAGCCAAGAGCTGCTTCTAGGTCTCCCACGTGGGTGCAGGGGTCCACTTGTGCCATCCTCCACTGTTTTCCTAGGTGCATTACCAGGGAGCTGGATTGGAAGCTGGAGTGGAACAGTTGGGACTCAAACCGGCATCCATATGGGATGCCAGCATTGCAGGCATCGTCTTAACCTGCTATGCCACAGGGCTGGCCATCTAAATGTAGAATATTTTTTTAAAAAAGATAAGATTGGTAGAGAGGATGGTACTGTGGTGCAATGGGTTAAAGCCCTTGTCTGCAGCACCAGGACCCCATATAAGGGCCGGTTCAAGTTCTGGCTACTCCACATCTAATGCAGCTCCCTGCTATTGTACCTGGGAAGCAGTAGAAGATGGCCCAAGTTCTTGGGCCCCTGCACCCACGTGAGAGACCCGGAAGAAGCTCCTGGCTCTTGGCTTCAGATCTGCCTAACTCTGGCCTTAACAGCCATTTGGGGAGTGAACCAATGGATGGTCGACCTCTGTATCTACCTCTCTCTGTAACTCTTTCAAATATAAATAAAATAAACACCTAAAAAAATAGGTAGAGTAGAATGGTGGGGGTGGAAT